AAGGACTTTGACTAGGCCATTCCAAGACTTGAAATTTCTTGTTTCTTTTCGGACCCATTCTTTTGTGGATTTACTTTGATGCTTCAAATCATTGTTCTGTTGGAAGATCTCGAGTTATATTCTTTGACTGCAGCATACCAAAAGAAATGAACATAAGCAAAACAACCAAGATGAAGATATTGGTATGATCAGCAAAGCATATAATTATCATAATGACGAAAACATTATTCAAACATAACAACCAAGATATGGTTGATGGTCTTAATTACAAAAACATGTAATGAAAAGCTAATGAAATTTCAGTATGTCAAACAGAAAATTCAAAAGTCGTTAAAATATAAAATTGGATATTTACAAGTGAATTAAAAGGTTTCATTTTTCTCTCCTTGCAGCTCAGCTCATAACTCATTGTACATATACCATAACCAAGATAAGGACAAGCCAAATAAAATTCCAAATCCTCAAGGTAAGTACATTTTCAAATCTCTGTTTATTGCTATATATTTAACATGGCCTAAGAAAAAGGTATAACTTTTAGATTACGTGTTTGAAGGAAACATATTTAACGAGTGTAAACTTCCATGTGTAAAAGAGAGGGAAATAAGCGAAAGATTATAAAGAATAGGTTAGTCAGATATGTGCCATGAGTAATACACGCGTAGGCGATCATGTATCTTTCGATACATGACTGACGCGGCAGATTTTTTATTAGTAAAAATCTTTTTAATAAATAGAAGATTTTTCTCGTTCTGTTCATGTCTAGGGATATTCTTATTTTGTCCTAATTTAGTAGTGTTCAGTTATTTCTCGTACTGTTTTCACTAAGTCTGAGTCGGTAATACCCAGACCGGGCATTGAACTATGTCACAAAATCCATAAGCCAAGGCTTTACTACAATAGGCTACAATAGTCCCTTTGAACAATATACTCTTGTAGGTTGAATAAGGAGTTCAGTTCGAAATTCTTAGAAGGTTACCTGAATCAACAAGCACCTGAAGAGTGGCTGGGGGATATAAGGGCAAGGTTTTGTGATAGTAACGAGTAATATCAGAAAGGTTCGAATACAAATAATGTAAATAATGATAACTCTTTATCATAGAAATTCAGGCATAGAAAAGTAGGATTTTTAGAAAGCAAAGAAACTAGTGTGCTATATACCCTTGAGAGCAGCTGCTGATCTTTGTTCCATGAGCAGATCTAGTTGCGATGTTCGAATTACCCCAGTTGTCTGCGAAAGAACTTCCGCTAACGACCGATATATGGCATTTGCAAAAGTATTACGTAAGAAGAAAGCTCAAAGATTTTTCTCTTTTGTAAGCTTTTTGTCACGGGGGGACGTAGAGATAGGGTGTTCTCGCCCCCATTTCGAAGAACCCTCTGGCTTCCAAAGGAACCACATGTCGCATTGAGCACAAAAGAACACAGATTACAAACGTCCTAAGCGCACCTGACAATACACAGACATAACTAATAATTCTACCAAAATTACGAATCTCTTAAATGTAAATCTTTCGCAATTTTACAGGTGTTTTGCATACTCGTATATGCAAAAGTACCTCTGTACACAAAACCCTTGATAGGGAAGTTGGTTCACTGTGTCGTGTTAGACAATTTTTCTCGTTTTTCTTATATATTTATAAGACTACAATTCGTCCACATTTCGAATATTGAAGCCACATATTGAAGACTAGCAGCATGGCCCGACGTTGCCCGTGCTTGATTCAAAAATCGTACGACTCATACAGCAATCACTATCACTTGACTTAAAATATTTTTGTCCTTCCTTGCCTTTAAAGGAGTGTCCTTTGCCGTGCTGATGTTGCTACATGCCTTACTTCTTGCCTATCTCACACTGCGAATTTTTTCTAAGCTCTATACAAAACGTTAAATCGGTATTGAACTCACGCACTTTGGGTCCTGTCACTGGATCTAACCAACACCTTTATCCACTGTGCCACGTGCCCTTGTATGAATTTCTGGGTATTATAAACCTAATGTCACAGCAACCGTTTTTTTGCAAGTGCTCATATTGCAATTTTTGCAGTTATCAATGCATGTTTTTACAAGAGCTTATATTGCAATTTTTGTTGTTATTATAACTTTTCTCTGGCACTCCTTATTACTGGTTCCCATATTGTATTCATTTCTATGCTTGGTTTATAATACTCAGAAATTCATACACAGATGTCCTCAAGGACACATGGATAAAGTGGATAAAGGCGTTGGTCAGCGACAGGACCCAAAGATTGTGAGTTCAATACCTGGTTAAGGCAGTGGATAACTTGCAGTGGGGAATTAACAGGAAATAACTGATAACTGACATCCATTAAACATGGCACGTGGAACTAGAACAGTCTACACCAGTGAACGAAATAAAGGGTTCAGTTCGACATTCCAACCATCTGAAGAAGGCCGGAGCGTACAACGGCCGAAACGTTGTAATAAATATGGCGACAAAGATGAGGACAATAGTCCGAATAATGTAAATAGTGTACATAATTCCTCATCTCAGAAAATATAGACAGATACTGAAATGTCTAAATGTCACCGTAAGTTCTTTACTAACTGTTTCTTCTGTCGCACTTCTCGCTTGTGGAACTCTCTTCTGGTTTCTTGATTTGTAGTTAAATTTGATCTTCAAACATTTAACTGCAATGTCAATCGTTATCCTTGATTCTTGTTCTTTTATTGTTTTCGCTCTTTATTAATGCTTTTTTCTGTTATTCTTTTACACTCAGTAACCTCTTTTGTGATTTTTTTTTACTTAGTTCAATGAGGAGATACGGTAATGGAGTAATGGATAGCGGCGCGAATTGAGGAATCGAGTTCGAATTCCAATCGAATCCATTACATTCACTTACGTGCTAATACCCTTGAGAAAGTTATGAATTCTCTTCTACAGCTATGAAAAGAGCAGGAAAACCGGGTTCTATAGCCTTGGATTGAAACTGGGAAAAATCTGCCTCGTCAGTCATGTATCGAATGATACATGATCGCCTAAGCATGTATCCCGCATGGCACATAACTGACTGAATCTCTTTTAGGGCTATAGTTTATTAAATGATGCCAAAGCTTAGCAATGATAAGTTTAGAATAGCTTAATTGATTATTTGAACCGAGTTTTTAAAATCATTACGATATGTTCCTTTTTACTTTGTTCAACATTTTGTCCTTTTGAAATTTTATCTTTTCGACATTACGCCCATTCGTCGTTTAGTCAGTTCGACTCTTTTTCTGTTCTGCACTTTGTTCGTACGACATTTTATTTGTTTGAGACTTTGTCTGTTCGTCATTTTGTCCATTCGGTATTTTTTTCTTTTGATACATTGTTTTTCAACACTCTGACCTACTACCTACGTTCTGGTGAGATGTAGAATCAATGTTCGGAGTAAGCTCCAAGACCACACACCTTCATAGCGACTGTTGTTGACGAAGTCCGGAGTTCAATAAAACGTAATATAAAACCTGCGATGAAAAAAGACTTTCTACATAATGTTAAATTTTATGACCGATGATCTACATTCAAACTACAGTAAAGAGTTAAAATTTTTATTTATGAGAAATTACAATTTTGGTAAAAATAAAAAAATAATTTCTTATATTTATGAGGAAATTAAAACTGTAACAAAATATAATTAAATATTGTGAGCGATGGCTTTCAAATATTCTCATTCGGATTCTAATGACGCATCTATCAATAATGCGTTTCGCTTTACAATAAATGATCCCTCCCTCACAAATCGGACTGCTAACCGATGATAATGGAGGCTTAATCTCTTTTTAAAGCTTTTTATTTATTAAATGATGCCAAGCTTTAGCAATAAAAAAATAATAATAATATTATTATTATTATTATTATTATTATTTTTATTAATAAGCTATTGGCATCATTATTTTTATAAAATAAAATAATTTTAAAAGAGATTAAGCATCATTTAATAAATAAAAGCTTTTAATAATAATAATAATAATAATAATAATAATAATAACCGCGTCACTCAGAGAGGAACCAGTCTGAGAACGAAAAGGCTGCCACTGGAACAAACTCTTCCACACACGAAGAGACACTTGGTCACCAAAACCGGATTATTGCCAACCTTGGACCTGACTCTGCCAAATCGACTAATAAAAAGTAAACGAACGAAGTGGAGCCGCGAAGAGTATCGACAAGTCATGACATCCTTCTTCACTGCACTCGAAAACCCAGCAAAGAACACCACCAATCAAACATACCAAATATGGAGAAGTACGGTGGGAAATGATATAAGACCTAACCTCAATCCAAACATGCTTGCCAATGTCCGTAGGGACATCATGCGAAACAACAGACTCTCAAAGGCAAAAATAGATAAGATAAAATTAGATATAAGACAAAATACTATGACCCATCACTCAAACGCTATTGAGACGAATGTAGAAATAAGGAATGCAACAGAGTATTGTGTGGATGCTGGAGAGAATGAAATACGAAATAATCTCCCAGGAAATGAAACCCAAGACTCTACCTTAAACACAACCTACAGTCCTCCAGAAACTGCACCTGGAGTCATCTTCAGTGACAATAAGTTAGAATTCCTTGAAAACCACGAAGCTGAAATCACCGAAGCGAAAAATGACGTCATCCAAGTACTCAGCAGAGTAACATTCACACAATTGTCAGACAGAGACCAGCTCCCGAAAATCCATATGACGAACTCCAACAGGCACATCGTGAAAATATACAATGCTGCTCTGGAAACACTGTTAACAGATAAACCACCGGGAAACATCACAGAAGTTAACAACTTCATATACGCCACAGCTTTAGCAGCGACTAGGAAGCTTGGAGTCGAGACAATAAATAAAATTAACAGACACAGAGAACCAGCTTGGAAAACCAAACTGATTCGAGAAATACAACAAATCAGATGTGAGCTTTTATATTAGATGAGCTCACCAGAAACCCTAATATTTCCACACGTAAATTCAAAAAGATCAAGCGGAAATATAACATTAAATCCCTAATTGATATTCAATCAATCAAGGAAATACTGAAGCAGAAACTTCAGCTGAAGGCGCAGAGAACAAGACGATACGAAAAACGTTGTAGGTTCTATCGCCAAAATAAAATATTCGAACAGATCTTAAGAAATTTTACAGGGAAATTGGAAAAACACCTATACATGTCGAAAGGCCATCATCGATTGATAATGTACAGACATTCTGGGAAAATATCTGGAGCAGCCCAAAGGAGTATAACCCAAATGCAGAGTGGATACGACGTGAAGAAGAACGAATGCTGGATACACCTCTGCAAGAATGGGAAAATATATCCACAGATGATGTTAGGCAAGCTCTAACGAAATCCCAAAAGTGGAAATCCCCAGGAAGTGACAAGTTGCCCAATTTCTGGCTGTATCATCTCACATCTACCCATGAAATTCTTGCAAAAACATTATCAACGCTTGTAAATAATCCCTATAAAAC